AGAACAAACAACACCACGTAAATTCCGCCTTAGCAAAACCTTACCTAAGTAACGACAAATGCGGCAAGGTTCCCCACTAAAACCTTCATTCTCACCTAGCGACACATTCTGTCTAGAGAGAAAACAGATCGTTACGAATGGATAGATTCAAGATGAGCGAGCAATCATTTTACATTAAACCGTTGGGGTTTTCGAACTCTAATCAATCAATGCATTTTCTTTAATAATTGAAACCAGACTACTCACAAGTAGCGTTCAGTTTCTAAGTGACTTCCAATGCATTATTAGAGGACGACAGCTATGTATTTAGAGTAGAGCGCCCTCATTGCTTTTTGCGCAATCCGTTTCATTCAACTGGTTCTTAATATATTTCAGAACCGCTATGATATTATATGCAATGGAAAACTGTAACGACCAGCAAACAGTGTTGGACTCAAGAACGGGGTGTACTGGTGTTGATTCCTTTCCTCAGAATCATTAATTTTTCTTTCGTCTCATTGTCCACGCCGTCACTTCTTTTCACCCGTCCAAATTCGCCTCTTTCCGGTCATCGATTTCTTACACAGCCAAGCGACTGCAGAGTTCGTCTAATGTCAGATAAGCGTATGGACACGCAGATATACACACACAGGCATCCACGCACAACAACCATTGCTTGATGAAAGATAGAAGTGTGTGCGCCCAACTGTGGTACAATGATTTGACCCTTGGGAGCTTCATTTCACTGCCTAGCTGAACGCATCTTGTTTGACTCCGTCAACTATAGCCCTTTCTCTGCTTGAGACAGTGGTGAGCTGCCTCCTTTGAAGCACCTTGATTGTAAGGTGTACTTTGGCACAACCGAGCGCGATCATACTCCTATTTGACGCAGTTGTATCTATTGTATTGTATTGTATTCAAGCTTTAGCGAGTTATATATACAAGCTTTCAGCTTTCAGACCACCGTTACAATTCTGCTAAAAACAGGGGATAAAGTGGGATATGAGAACTAACAAAGGTATGAGTTAACTACCAAATGCATTAGAAAGCTCAGAGCGAACACTTTCCTTGTCGGTCAGTATCCGGGCAAGATAGGGTACCAAAGAGTTTCTGTATACGGATATGCGAGACGGGATAAGTTTGTACTTGAAACGAATGCAGGGGTGGGATTTGCATGCACACAAGTCAGTGTGTAGAGGATGGGTGCAATCTGATAGGATGTTGTCAGCAAACTTTAAGCATGCATCAGTATGGGCATTACACATATTACCAATCAGAACAGATAGTGGAACTTGGGAGACACGGCTGATCATTGAGAGGCCACGCCTCAGCAACTTGAAATCAGCCTTCAACAAACCAGGGAAAATTACAGGAGAGCAATAAAGGGGTATAGGGAGGACATATTGTTGAACGAAAGTGTTCATCACCGACGAGTCAGAACAGAATTGGCGCAGTCTTGTGATCTGAAAAGAGAGACTTTTCAACTTGCGGGCAATACTTTGGGTATGTAAGGACCAGCGAAGGTTACTTTCAAGTGTGACACCTAAGCACTTCACATGGCTGACCCTGCTCATCGACTTTCCATGAATCTGGACATTGTCAGAAGGAGATGAGGTACGGTTTAGAGTGGAAATACATTCAATGCGTTTTTCAGGAGTAAGATTAAGACCGGAAGAAGTGGAATATGAAACGAGGTGGGATAAGTTTGTATTACATTCAGCCAGTTCTGATTGATTAAATATGGAAACAGAAATGGCGATATCATCAGCAAACTTAAAATGTCGAACAGGGGGAGTAATAGGTAAGTCACTAACATAAGTCGAAAAAAGATAAGGTGATAGGACAGCACCTTGAAGTAAACCCGAGCTA